AACCCTAAACCCTAAACTTCAAGCTCCCTCCTCCGGTTTAGGAGTTATGGACTGGAGACTTTCGGCTTTGGTCTTCGGGCTTTTGGATGTTGAGTGGCAGGTTCAGGCATTCAGATATTCTATGGGGCTTTGGGTTGGCATTGGGTGGGTGCAGGTTTGGGAGTTGAAATCTTGTTTCGCTTTGGCTTCGGAGCTTGGTGGGTGTTCCGTGATTCTGGACTTTAACGCTTTCGGTCGTCGCTCGCAAGGCAGGATTTTGAGAAAGCTGCCACGCCCGAACCGAACGAGCGACGACCTGACCAGAACCCCGAAAAACCGAAAGCGCCAAGATCCAATCCCGGAAGCTCTCCGTCTTGCAGGAGAGTCCTGCAAAGCCCAAAGCCCAGACCACACCCAAAAATAGCAAAACTCAAAACGTAAACACCAAGGCCCCTACATAACAAGAGACTGCCTTTCCAAGCCCAAGGTTCTGAATGAAGCGGCTGCCGAAGACGATGCCGGAGGGGAAGCCTTTCCTGAGCCGCCGAAGAGGGGGGCATTTAGGGATTTAGGGGCCGATGTAGGGAATTGAACTTCGAACTGGGCTTTGGGGTGCCATCGAATCATCGAATCATAGTATTGTCATAATACGGAGCCCGAAGGACTCCGACCCCTCAATTACATTCAACTGGCCATCCTTCCCCACATCCCCGGCAAGCTGCGGTCGATGCCAGGCGCTGTAGTCGTGCCGCCCCGGGATCATCACGCCATCGGCGCGGTAGATCCTCAGGTTTCGAAGCTTCGAAACTCCTGCAAGATGTTGGAGCCTTGGACCTAAGAAAGGCCCAGAGCAGCCCGAGATCAATGGCCCAGAGCTCTGAAGGTTGACATGCTTGAGGACAGGTGCCAAGCAGTCGAGGTTTGGAGTACGCTGAGACAGAAGGAAGCGGGTGGCAAGCGTTTGACGGCTTCGATATCGCTGCTCTCTTCCGCAAATCGCCTCAATCTTGAACTCCTTAGGATCTGCTTCCCGGCTTCTGTGGCGTTTGTCCGCCCTTGTGAGAGATGCTCAAGTGCGTCGCGTCAATAGCCGCCAAGCGCCAATTCCCGAGCCTGGATCGTGAGCTTGACGGCTTTAGGGCTGTCGGGTTTTCATTCGTCGTGGCTAGGGTTGAGGAGCTGCATGCGGGATTCAGGGATGCTTGGCGCTCCAGCGCTTCGAGCCCTGAGGACTAAACCTTGGATTCTCACAATATACATTCCGGAGTCGGAAAACCCGAACAGCGCGCGAGAATGCACACCCGATCCACTGCAATGCCGCCCGGTGTGCTCCACAAAGCGGTCGCCAAAGGCGCCGAAGGCACCACAGGCGCCGTAAGCGAGCTCCTGCTAAGTGTTCGGCTTTGGGGACTTTCTAAACCCCGAACCCCAGGCCTGCAACCGAACCCCAAGGCCCAAACCCTCCCTAAACACTAAACACTAAGCCCCAAACCCTAAACCCTGAACCCGAAACACCAAACCCGAAACCCGAAACCCGACAGAACCCTAAAGCCTCAAGCACTGACCATAACCGCCCTACTGCAATGAAGACCCTCGCACTCGAAAGCTGCACTTATCATGACCCCTTACAGTAACCCTGATAGTAACTTTGAGGCAATTAACCCTATAGTGCCATGTACCCCCAAACCCTAAACCCTAAACCCTAAACCCTAAACCCCTACGACTACTGGCTCCTGCAGATCTTTGCAGGTCCACGGCGCAGGCTGCAGGGCGCCTAGCACATGAGGGCTTCCTGAGGCGGGCTGCGCAGTGCCATCGGACTTCCACACCTGTCAGAGGTTGTAGGGCTTGTTGGGGGTGGTTTCAGGAAGCTGTACCAATGGTGGTGCATCGATTCGCGGTGGTGATTGGAGGGTTACAAATTTTGGGGCGCATGTCAATGTAGCCCCAGACTCTGAAAAGCCCTGGTGAGCCTGGTTGGTGCTGCCAGTGCCGTGAGAGAGGACCAAATCAGAGCCCATCACAACCAGGCGGAAGCGGCCGATCTGGAGAAAGCCTGATCGGCGATTCGGGGCCTGCGGTTAAAGGTTCCGACTTGATTCGACTGAGGGTGCCGTCTGTGTGCCCATGGGCGAGGAGAGTGTTGCTGACACTGAAAAATATCGCTGCAAGGCAGGAGGGGAGGCGCTCATACGTCAAGCCCCTACGTAGCCCAACAGCAGCCCCCGAATAGCAAACCGCCCAGCCAGGTGCAGCGCAGGGGGCCGTCGCCGAAGTTGACACCCTCGGCCGACATGACCGGGCGGTCGAACGTCCTCGGCTCCAAACACCACGACTCCCAGATAGTGTGACCGGTAAGCTTGGGAGGTTTCGGGCTTCGCAGGGGTGTAAAGTGCCTGTCTGGATGTGCAACGGCAACAAGCGCAACGCATTCCTTGGGCCGGAAACCTAGATGCAACGAGAGCGTTTCTTCGACATCGAAAAAGCCGAGAGGCCCAAAGTCCTCAAGGGGCCCCGAGTAGACGGTGCCATCTGAGCCGAAGGCCTGGAGTTTGCGTTTCGCTTTACAGGCGACGACTTCGAGGCGCCGGAGCGCAACTTCCTCCGAGCTGGCTCTGTCTCTACCAAACGCGCCTGCACGGTGGTTCCACCGGAGTGCTGGATGGAGAAGTGGTTGTCGTTCACTGCGCCCAGCCGGAATTCTCCGATCTGGATGAACTGGAAGCCGAACTTGATGCCTGGAGGGCTCCGGACCCGGGGTCCCATGTTGAAACCATAAAGCTTGGAGCCTTAGGCATTTGGCTAGGGGTTGAGGCTTTAGGGTCTTCGACGGGTTCCGGGTTGGTGCATGTGAATGGATCTTTCTCGACAGTGCCAGCCTTTCGGCGGGGCGACAGGGCGGCTGAAGGCCAAAAGATCCGTCCGCTGCTGGAGCCTGAGCCGTCCAGTCGAGCTCAGAGGTTCCAGGCACTAAGCTCCAACCCTCCCGCGACATCGGTCCAGTGAGCGAAGCAACTCTGAGAATAGTTCTGGAACAGGGCGGCCGAGATGGCTCAAACAGCTGTTTCAAAAGCGTTCCTCAACTGAGTCTTGCCGGGTCTCCACGAGAATTTCAGTACTCGGATGATTATTCAGTTCGAGGCTTGTGGGGTTTGCCCGCCGTCGCGCAGTGCACATGTGGACCATGGAGAACAACAGTACCAAGAGCTAAATGACCCGAAACTCCGAAGACCAGATACCTATCTTAAGCCCGCACCCATCTGGGTGCCCTGAGGTGATGTAGTAGCGACACACGAACAGCGATTTCCAGATACTGCGTGTTGCAAGAACGGATGAAGCATGCGAACGCTGCGGAGGGCATCGTTCAACTCGAAAAACGTCTGATGATGCCTACGAAACTCCAGTCGGAATTGCTGGAGGATGCCATGTAGAGGAGCTAAGCTGGGGAGGGGATCAAGTCGTCGTCGCTGTCGCGGTCGCCTCCATCGTTCTCACGTTAGCCACTCGTCTGCTCAATTTCTGGCTCCAGTCTCACTGGTGTTTAAGGTCCCCGAAATCCTTCAGGGTTGGGTGTGGGTCCAAAGGCGTGAGACCGACTTGGGATTCCGCTCGCAGCTAAGCGGCACCACCCCATCGTTGCGAAAGACGATGGCAGCCTGGTCTGGTTGAGGCGCAGGGCTGAGGACGAGCTTCCGTCCCTGAAGCACCAGACCTAAACGGAACTAAACCGACCTAAACCCTGAAGCCCGCAAGGGCTTTAAGCAATGAGCCTCCGAAATCCCAGACCCGAGAGCCCTGGATCCCCTTAATTGAGGAAAGGACCTTAAGAACTCTGGAAAGCTGACCGACGCCTTGTTCCGCGTTGCAAGACGCAACCCGAGATCCGCTTCGCATTACTTACAGGACACCTGCAAGAGAACATCATAACCCTAAAGCCCTAAATCCAAACTCCTTGATTTCGAAAGACCCAGTTCTAAAGCCCCAGGCCCCGAGAAGAACCTTGAACCCCGCCCCTGAGAAAAAACAACACTACAATCATAGTATCAATAGCAGTCATGATACTCACGAACATAGAGGTAACCTTCACAACCAACAGACCGCCTGACCCGTCTTGTCGGCAATGGAGAGATGGTTGTCGTCCCAAGCCGCCAGGCGCCACGGGCCCAGGTCCAAAAACCGATCTCCCATAAACCTGGGAGGCTGTCTGCAGAGTCCCTGAACCCTAAACCCTACCCCGTAAACCTTTAGGCATCAGGGGCTTGATGATGGAGGTGTTGGGGTTGAGGGTTGCATTTGGGGGCGGATCTAAGCTTCGATGCAAGCAATTCTGTATTATGGGTCAGCAGTTATCACATATGGGGACTCGGACGTTGGGATGTCCAACTCGCCCTAGGTTAGTTCTTCTTCGTGAGCCATTTGATCTCTCTGAGGCTCCAACCTACCGCACACTCAAGCCCGAGACCTTACATCCCGAACCCCACAGCTCCAAACCCGAACCGGAACCCTAACGCCCCAAACCTGGGGTTTAGGGTTTAGTTAGTTTAGGGTTTAGGGTTATACAGCCCCCAAAAAACAGGCCCCAACATACCAAGCAAGGCGCACATTCGGGCAGCCCGGGCTCTGCATCACCACCGCCGGACCGCTCACCTCACGGGGCCCCGGAGCCCTGATGGGTTTCGAGTTTGGGACTTTTGGGGTTTAGGGTTTAGGGTTTAGGGTTTAGGGTTTAGGGTTTGGGGTTTAGGGTTTGGGGCTCAGGGGGTTTAGGGTTATGGTGTTTTGGGTTCAGGGTTTAGGGTCTAGGGTTTAGGGGGGTTGCACACAGCCTCAGAAAGGCTGACTGAGTTGTGTAGGATGTTGGTGCTGCTGCTGTGCCCCAGCAAGAAGGGCAGTTCTCTAAAATAAGGTCCTTTTGGTGTCCTTTTTTATAAGGGTGCCGTACTATAATTTAGAGAACTTCTACAGAAGCTTCAGAGGGCCGGCCTCGCCGTAGCAGTGGGCGGTGGTGAAGCCCGAGTTGCTCCCGCCGAGGCCATTGGCATCCTGGGGCTGAGGCCCGCTTGAAACACTCCTAAACCCTAAACCCTAGACCCTAAACCCTAGACCCTAAACCCTAAACCCCATAACCCTAAACCCCCTGAACCCTAAACCCTACACCCTAAACCCTAAACCCTAAACCCTAAACTCTGAACCCTAGACCCCGTGGCCGGGAGGGCTTTAAGGATCATTGTCAGGGTTACTGCAAGAGTCAGTGGCTTGAGGGCTCTAGGGGCTTGATAGTGTTCTGGCGGTCTTCAAAGCCTACTTGCCGGGTTAATCGCTGTGCAGCATTAGAAACGGCTTGCTACAAGGCATGACCGACCGCAGAAGCAAATCAAACCTTACGGCCGTGACTTGCCCCCGGACTCTTGTGTGAATTCCAGGCGGGATTTTCCAACAGCCGAACCGCCGCGCCCTTAAACCCAAGAGATCCCAAAGGCCTAAATCCCAAGCCCGAAAACATACAAGCGCCCCGGGCCTCGTGGGTCCGAGCGCTCATGCCGAAGCACCGCCCTTCCGCGGTGTAGGTGACCTGATGATCTGAATTCGGGATCTTCGGGTGAGGGTTCAGTGTCTTTGGGAACTTAGAGTTTGGGGTTCAAGGTCCTTGGCCTTACAAGGGTTTCATACAGGGGCCTTGGTGATATTTACAGGGCCTTGAGGAATACTATGGTGCGAATTTGCTAAGTAACTCTAGCGAATTGTGCTCTGGTGATTATTCAGGACCCGGATATTTGGGGTCTTTGGTTTAGGGTTCGGGGTTGCAGGTTCAAACCCGAAAGCCCGATGGACCTTCCGAGGTTTCGGGGCCGAATGCACATGGGCCGTTCCATATCCTTTCCAGCTACACTTGCAGTGACCCTGAGTCTCGCCCCAGTTACCGAGTTCCTCCTGTTCCTGACAGACCCTCAAATAGCCTGAATCCCAGATCAACGGTATGGAGCACGGAAAATCCGAGGATGCCCCAAACCAAGCCCTAAACCCCCAGAGACCCACTTCGTGGGTTTATCCCAGGGCCTGCTGGCAGGCCGGCGTCTCCTTGCAGAGCTCCAGGCAGCGGAACCAGCCGCCACTGAACTCTCCGTAGGGGAGGTTGCCCAGGCCTGGTTTAGGGTTTAGGGTTTAGGGTTGAGGGCCACAGTGAAGCCGTGGTTTAGGGTGTTCTTGGTGAGGGTACTGAGGTCCAGGAGATGAGACTCCGGGCAAGCACGGGTGTTTGAGACAGCTCTGAAAGCTTTCGGTTGAGGCGTGTTTTGCGCAGCTTGCAATGCTTGCTGCACGAGTTCAGATTGCTGCGAACCAGTCCTACCAGCAGCAAGCAACCAGGTACCAAGAACCTGAGCCCTAAACCTAAGCCTCTAACCCGAAGCCCTTGAAACCTGCACCAAAACCCCATACGAAACCCCAGATGCCACACGAAAAGCAAAAACGCCAGGACACTGATGCCGGAGCCCGGGACCATGACCATACGCCAGTTCCTCGGCGGTCTTTCAAGCTCAAATCCAGGGGCCTTTGTTTTTCAATGAACAGGGTAAGAGCTCCAGAAGGGCTTCATCATAGAGGTTTGAAGGGACCCCATCCATCGGTTTAGGGCTTAACAAACCCTAAACCCTAAACCCCTAAACCCCAAAACCCTAGACCCCAAGCCCTAAACCCCAAAACCCTAGACCCTACCCCCAAAACCCCTAAACCCCTAAACCTCTAAACCCCTAAACCCCAAAACTCCTAAACCCCTAAACCCCTAAACCCCTGAACCCCTAAACCCCTAAGCCCCTGAACCCCTAAACCCCTAATCACCCCGGGCATGGAACCGAAGATACAAGAAGCATGGAGTAACGATGCCAGGATGCGGGACCATATGGGTAGTTCTCTAAGTTAAGAACCCTTTTAGGGTCCATTCTACAAGGGTGCCGTATTGTTTGGGGGACCTAAACAGGGACCCTAATTTAGAGAACTACCCATATAAATGGAGGTTTAGACCCTACCCCTTTTCTCAGCGTACCCTATATAGCTTTCTTATAGAACCGATCCTAGAACCCTAAAACAAAAACCCTAAACCCTCAACCCTAAAAAAGAA